AAAACTACCAAGAAATGTCCAGATGACACATTAGCAAAGTACTTTTTTCTTTCACATAGACAGAGTATAAAACTGAGGGAGGGGGGCTGTATAAAAAATGGTATGCTTTGTGCATATGTGTGTAAGAGTATTCTTTCCTGGAAGGAATCTAGAGGTACTGATGCCAATAACTTTTACCAAAAATGAATAAATATATCAAAACATGTAGAATATGAATGAATATTGAATATCATTTTATTTTAGTGCTCATTATCTTAGATAAGCAAAATTTGAATCATAATGAGAATGCAAACAGCTTTTACCCTTCTATTTTTTTCTTAGCAGAAGAATTATGTGCAAGCCAGAAAACAAAGGTGAAGTTCTATTTCTAAAGAAGTGTTAGATATACAAAAAAGATTGCACTGTTGGAAGGGATGAGCTCTGTGGGTTTTTTCTCAACAAAATAACTGTACATTTTAAGTTAGGTATTTTACTTCTTCTAGTGATATGGCAAACCATCATCTCTTCCCCTTAGGAAACAGGAGTCAAGTACTTTACTAGGGCAAACAGTTTATAATCAATAATTTACAAATTCTTGGAATTTGGTACAGAGGCTAGAGCCTCCCCTCAGGAAAGTGGTAGAAAACTCAGAACTGGTTTTTTATATACTGCCTTTCATCTTTCACCAACAACATAAACTCTTCGCATCAACTCATCAATAGAATGTCAGCAGAGCGGTAGAGGAGGCAGATCGAAGTCATGTATGGTGTATGTTTGGATATCAAGTACATATATTACCATTTCCCAAGATATATTGTGCTGGGGGCCAGGGATATAGCTCAGTGGCACAGCCCCTACCTGGCAAGGGCAAGGTCTTGAGTTTAATTCCTGGTACAAAAAAAAAAAAATGTTGTGCTTAGAATCTTAGCTCTCAGATAGGTAGGATTTAGGAATAGTTTTAGAAAGTCAAAATTATATTTTATATCCCATATTTATATATGTATAGCATATATTAAAAATATCAATGACTCTGAGAAGTTCTCTAATTAAAATATTTAAAACCAGGTTTTACATAGCAGTTTTCAAATTTATTTGGCTACTACATACTTTTATCTTAAAATATCTATAACTTAGTGACACAGGAATTAGTGTTTCTTGGAATATACTTAGGAAAATGCTTGCATAAATGACTTATTTAGAGCTCTGTTCTCTACAAAGAAAGGAGATGATTTTGCCCTCTAGGGAACACTTGGAAAATGTCAGGAGACATTTTTAGTTCCATAACTAAGAGATGTTACTGGCAAGTGGTTGGAAAATACAAATAAAATTCATGAATATTCATGGAAATGAAATGACTTTTTCATAAAATTATGTAGGAAGAAGTAGAAGCAGCATTATACCACAGTAAGGGAAAGAAGATTGGACTGAAGGTTTTTGGACTTAGACTCCTGTCATGGTCTGTCCAAACTAACAGTTAAACAACAACTCTCAGAGTTTGTGGAATGATAGAACTACATAAAAAAGTAAGGAACCTCAAAGAATCAGTGAGGAGAAGTGATTAATAAAAATGCCTACAGGAATGCTATTGATTTTTGGGTGCTGACTTTGTATCCAGCTATGCTACTGAATTTGGTTATTAAACCTAGAAGTCTTTGGTGGAGTTTTGTGAGATCTTCTAAGTAGAGTATCATGTCAACTGTGAATAATGATAATTTTACTTCTTCCTTATGTAGCCTTATTCCTTTTATTTCTCTCTCTTATCTAATTGCTCTGGCTAATGTTACCAGAACTATATTGATATACACAAGATAGCACTACTAATTTCTATTGGTTTATTGAAAGGAACAGTTAGCGCTTAATTGGTTGATCAATTTTGCATGTCTATATCTTGCAATCTAAGCAACTGTTTTGAAGATATCAATATGTAGCATAATAACCATTACTAATTTCCTATCATTTTGTTTTGAAGTTCTGTATCAATTTTATTGTTTTTTGTTTACTTTTAAATTCTCTTATAACAATAAAAAAGAATGCCTAGGAGCATTTCAATATCTCAACCAGATAATGTAAACATATTTATTTCAGCTAAATCAGAAATAGTAACAGATGATACAAAAATCATGAAGCTCAGACTTTTCATTTTAATACTATAGTTCTACATCAGAGCAAATAAAGGTCTAGGAAATTTTGTTTGTGTTTCAGTACTGACCTGTGCACATTGTAATGTGAGTTTCTGTTTTCTTTTAAATCCAGCAAGGAGACAAGCATAAACTAAAATATAACTATAAGTCTGGGTGGATTTAGACAAAGTCCTAGATTCTGGCTCTTTCCTTTTCTTTAAATAGATTTATAAGTTTACCTCTTTAGAAAGAATTTGTTGATGTCCAAGACATTTGAGCTAAATGTGCACTGCTGGACAGCTATATTTGAACTCCACAAATTCCTTTGCAATTTAAAAACTCAGAGATAGATGAACTATTTCAGCAGATTACTAAACAGGACCCCAAATTAGCCAGTTATCTTGAGTGTGATTACAGTATATTTTTATGTCATAGCAGATGGTTATGCTATAAGAAACTAAAATATAAAACTAGCACCCTCCTCCGTGAAAATAAGGAAATTCTTTGTAATCCTCATATCCAGTTCTCTCATTTGTCCAACTCTTTTATCATTCAGAAGGTGACCATAAGAATATGTTTCAATCAATCTTTTAAGGTGGTAACCATAAAATAATTCTGACCAGTTATTAATGAAGGAGCTAAATGTACTCATAACTCATCTCTTAAGTTATGTTAGTCCAAGTATACATGGAAGTCCATCAGATAATAGCAGCAGCAGTGATAAACTGCCCACTCTGTGATAATTGCAGCAACCACAAATCAAGAGCCCAATAAAATAAAAAAGTTTGTAATGATTTATGGAAACATTTGTTCAACTTCAGGCAATCTAGTTGTGCTTGTGTACAAAGCATGTTATTCCCATGATCCTCCACAAATCAGATTTTACCCCAAGTTATGAAGAGAGCATTACAAAACTTAATCATACCCAAGAAGGATTCCCCACACTGTTCACTGTCACTCACATATTTTTCACCAAAACAATTTGGCTGCAGTCATAGTTATGATATTGTAATAACCATCATAAGCCCTGTCACTTTAAGTCAGTCAAGTCAGGATCTGTTTGCAAAATATAATCAAATGTAATTTCATGATTCCATAAATTATATATAAATCTGCTATTATTGGTTTTCATTTTCTTTTCAATACCACTCATTTCCATTTTCTCACTGGTAGTTATTCTGACTCCAAAAGCCATTATTGCCCTCCATTCTTATTCAAATGGAGCTGTTTTATTAGATCTTTTAATACTGTATATGTGGCTTTGCTTCTCTAACAGTAATAATTCCATTTCTAAAGGAAAATGGAAGTGGTTGCACACAAAATCCTGAGCTTTTACTTTATGTTAAGTCCAGTATATGTCTGAAATAGGATTTTAATTTAATCTTATCTGAGAAGACCAAAAGGTTTTTATTAACTACCTGAAAAAAGCAGAAAAACTAGCCTTTCCTCTACAGATTTTTAATAATTCAAAGAGCCCATGAAGTCACCACTTCTCCACAATGATGTGTTTAAAATATACTTATTGACCAAGTTAAACTAAATTTCTTTCATTAAATGGTAGTCATTATATTTTTATGTTGTTTCTCTCTAGAAAAATAAACAAAATATTCTACATGCCTAATTTAAGTTACACTCCAGCTATGTATCACTTTAAAAGTATGCTTTCTAATAGACCTATGGAAAACATCATTAAAAAGACACACAATCATAAATGCATAGTTGTAGATTTTATTAATACATTTAAAAATACTATCAGACATTAAATTATGTTACTCAAGAACTATAGCTATTTAGGAAAGATGAATTTTGAAGTTACAACAGTGAATTTGAGGTTACAGGCAGAATTTGTTACAATGGTGCATGAAAATCGACAAACCCATCCTCATGGATTCAGATCAAGTTTGGAAAGAAAGTGACTCAGTCAATAAAATGCCCACCCAGCATCTCCATGTACAGAATGAGCACCTCCTCCAGGAGTTTGGGGATTACTGACCCTTGGTGGAACACAGGTCATTACATGAAGCAATTATAGTATAATGTGAGGCAACTTGTAATTAAGCACTAAAATGAAGAGCTATAGGAATTTAGAAGAGTTTAGAAGAAAAATCAAATTGTACAATTGAACCTATAAACAGCATGACCACATGGACCATATAAAGCTAAATAATGGCATTGCAACTGTCTTTGTCAGCATATGCCCAAGGTAATGAATAAGTGGCTTGAGGTTGTAAGTTCTGTGTTTGCAATTTTTATTTCCAATATGCTTATAAAAATATTCTCATATACCTTTCCTTACCTGGAGTCAGAACCTAACACATAAAAGCAAAACCAAATAGCAGAGACTTATAGAACAGCATTTTTAAAGTGTTGTACTTTAATATGGAAAGAATCAGAATTTTAAAGTAGAAATGTTCTACCTTTTAATTAGAGAAAAATTTAAATAATCTTTTAAGTAGGCAAGGATCAGAGAATTTATGTTCTCTGTTCCACCACAGTGGAAGTACGTCATGTAGCCCTGGGCAAGTTACTTTAATTTCTTGACAAGATTCAGGATTCCTACCGTCCTTCTACCTCCGAGCAGGGCCCAGAATCAAGGTCACATTTTGGCCCTGTTCCTTTACTTTAATTAAAGGAAAGGCGTTCTCTAGGTAACCTCTAGTAATTTATACTACAGAAGTGGCACCAAATGAAAGGAGATACCTTTTTCCAACTGCTGTTCCATGACCAAGAACAAAGTTGTAGAGACTGCTACCTGAGCAAACAGATAAGAACATAAATTCTGGCCAAGGGAGGTAGCTCAGTGGCACAGTGCCTGCCTGGCAAGCGCAAGGTCCTGCGTTCGATTCCAAGTACAAAAAAAAAGAAAACCTGTAATTGAGAAAGAACATGAATTTAACTTACCTCCAGAGACTTCTGTGTTGCTCCTCAAGTTGAGTTAGCAAATGCTCAATGTATTTATTAGAGTCCATATATTCCTGTATAAAAATGAGATGAATAAAACCTCAGTACAATAGCGAACAGATTCTACAACTCCATCCTTTACAAGGGATACTTCCCACAAAATAATCCTGTCTCCCTCCAAGTGCTAGGACTCTATGCTTCTATGATTTACAAGTATAGTCAGTGGAGATCAATTCTATTTTCTCCATATCATGTGATACTTTTTATGAACAAGTTCCTGAGGGAATGACAGTTTTATTGAGTCAGCATAAAAATCTTCCTATTTACAAAAAACAGCCTATATTTCATAGTTATCTACACTGGAGACTGTATGTTCTCTATAGAAGTTAATGAGCCAATGTTTCTGCCAACCTTAGAGCAGTAAGAATAAATAGACACTAAAGGCTTTGATTTTACTTGTTTTGTGATGTCATTTTCAAACAAAAATAATATTTTTAAAAGATGAAATATATATATATATATATATATATATATATATATATATATATATATATATATTCCTTTTACTGGTCATTTGTGTCCACTGATGGACATAGTCACTTTCCTTCAACTTCTTACATATACACAAATATGGTGGTGTGTTTGACCTTAAATGATAAATCTTTGGGGGCTGGGGATTTAGTTCAGCACAGTGCTTGCCTGGCAAGTGCGAGGTCATGAGTTCGATTCCCAGTACTGGGGAAAAAAAAATAGATAAATCTTTGGCTTTCAGGAAGACATAAAAAGGTATGGTATAACATGTGCTATAAAATGTGTATCTAAACTAATTTGTGTAAATTGTACCACATTTTTAAGAAACATGCTTGAACAAAAGAGGAATTCATTTTTCACACAAGAATTATGCAGAGAAATCCTTGGATTATTATACCTAATTTTTAATTTGTGATTTCTGAATATTAGGTTCATACATTGCAGAGCTTCAGTTGCCAACTTGTAAATACAGTGTGCACAATTTGCATGATATTGTTTCATTCTGTCTGCTATTTACTTTCCCTTTCTGTTTGAAGGTCTGCCCCGCAGAATACTGCTTCTACAAAGCAAATGCCTGAGACCAAAATAGCGTGCAATGGTTTCAACATGAAATCTCCCATGAAACCTACTCTTTTATTTCCATGGATTTAAAATAAATTAGGAGCTTTACTATTAATATTTTTCTTCCTGAAATACAGATTTATTATTAGCGTTTATACATAATCTACTGTTCCTATAGGAATATTGTCTATAAACTGCGAGAGGAGTGCCATGAGTTGCTATAATGCAATAGAAAGTACCTAGCCCTGAGTTTCTGAACCTGGATCTACCCACATAGCCTTAAAGAAACCATTTTATCTTTCCAACATGTTCTTGTGTACTAATTCTAAAAGTAATTCCTTCTTTAGCCAAGAAAACAGAATACTAAAGCATTCTATTCTATTACAGATGAACAGAGTTTTATGCTTTTTGAATAAACATTCATTTTCAGGTGCCTACTGAACAGTAAAGCAAGACTCCTGGGCATGTTAAAACCCAAACAAAAATCTCTACTATTCCAAGAAGTTGCCACAGACATAGTTTTAAGTCCTGCTTAACATGATTTAGAATACTCATGATTACTAAGACATTACTTCTCATGTATGTTCAGCTGAAAAAGTTATAAAGGCATTGTTTCCAAGTAAAAATAAATTTTAAGGTATTTATCCATTCTTCCATCAACAAGTATTTAAACATGTATGATATGCCAAATGCTACTGTAAGTTCTGTAGGGACAGTACCACAAAGCAGAGAAGTACTCTGTAGAGGATCTTAGATTCTACCCAGAGAGATATAAGCAATTAAGTGAACAGATTGATTTCAGAACAGGTATATTCTGTGAAGGAAACGAACAAGTGATAAGAAGGACTTGAACTGACAACTTCACACACAGTCTTTGTAATAAGACTCTCAACAAATGATATTTGAGTCAAAACTTGGAAGAGAAAGAGGAGGCAACTATTTATACACAAGGAGCCACAACACAGCAGGCAAAGGAATCAGCACATGTAAAGGCCTGAAGTGTGCTATATGAACCACAGAAAAGCTGCTAGTGGAGGACCGGTAACCAGAATATTGCGGGCGGGTGAGGGGAGGATTCTAAAATGAAATTGGAGAGGCACAAATCAGAAACCAGATCACACATAACCCCTAGAAAGCAGTTTAAATAAATGCAAATACATTTGTTATTTCATTCACTCTGATTAGCTCAACCCACAGAATGAATCTGAAAGGTATAGTGATGACTAATAATATGTTCTTTGAATCAGAGCCTTAGGTTCAAATCCAGCTTTGATCTTCCTCATTATATTCCCCTGGGGAAATTATTTTATTTCATCTCTAATCTTTATTCTTTTCTTCTTTGTGAGAGAAATAAACAAGAATTTAGGGAAGTGTTAAAAGGATTACCTGGTTTAAGAAAGTATATACCATCATGTCATAGCATCATGTCATGTTTTTTCAGAGTACTATCCTCCATTTCTCAAGAAGAGTGATTGCTTAAAAAGATGAAGGTATTATCTATTTTCTCTTCCCTTACCAAAATTAGGATTTTTGAGCATATAGTTTGTGAACTGAAGCTCTGTTAAAGAGCATCTATAGTAAAACTATGGTAGAATCTTGACCTTGGCTGAGTAGGATATCCTGATTGCTGTGACTGTGACATGTAGCCTTTTTTATGGCAGAATGTGTCAATTAGGATAAGCTGAATGCATGTTCCTGGGCCATGCCAGCTCGTATTTGTCTCAGGATAAATTATTTTCTAATTTCCTTTAAAGCAGAGTTGTTATTTTATGTCAACAAGTTCTTAAATTACAGTTGCTGAATATGAGAATAGGAAGCTAGTCAGAGACCATTAAAAGCACAGATTTCCAGTCATTAAATGTAATTGTATTTTAAAAGCTATTTCAAATAACAATACTAACTGTTTCTGCTTAAACTAGTTTCATCTAATTCTCCCTAAAATGACTGTGAGAATCTATTTTCTTTTTGTCTATGATTTGTACTTTGAATAACATTTTAGCCATTCTTTTAATATCATGATACATGGTATATTAACCATTGACATTTTCTAATGATTTGTTATGAAATTTTGTTTTATTTTTCATAGAAGGGTATTTTTAATATTTTCTTTATTAATATCTACTCATACTATATTAAAACAGAAAATGACTGTGATGATAAATCTAATCTCTTAACAATGGAAAACTTTGAGTATAGATTCCTTTTGTTATAGCTTTACTTTTCTCTCTTGCATCATTGTACTTAATTTACTTAGATATTTGGTAATGAGTACTACTGGCTTCTACCCCACTCACATACATTACAAGGCTAACAGAGAGAGAGAGAGAGAAAAAGACAGCAAGAGAAAGCAAGGGGGAGAGGGAGAGAGCGCTCACATGTACTTTCATTTATATGAAACTACTTTTTGTCATCTAAGAGAACTGAGGAAGATCCCTTATACATTTATCATTTTTGGCCTTTGAACTGGAAAAGATAGTTAACTAAGGAGAAATCCTTATCATTCTGTAAAATTAAGGAAGAACTGTTCCCTGAAGCAATTTTGTTCTCTGTTTGGAGATGAACTCTCAGGCAATGATGGGGCTCATAGCTATGGGGCCGGAAGTGATAACACAGTACACCTGTAGCTTCAGTAAGTACAATGCTATAGGCTCAGTGACCACTACCAGAACCTTAGTAGCAAGCACATACTGGAGGTTACTGCAGAGACTCCAGTATCCCAAAGTGTCAAAACACAAAGACAAAGAGGAGTGCTGGATAGTTTCAGAACGAACTGAAAAGAATACAGCCTAGAATGCATGAAAAAGTACTTCAGCACAAGAGGAAGACTATCATACTTAATCACAAGACAGAGTGTGCTTCAGACAATAACTTAGGAGAAAAACATGAAAGCTTTATTTTAGAAAGAGGTTTCTCATGTTTAGGAGTGTCCAGAAGACATGGTTAGACACAAGTGCAGAAGCACTTTAAACATACTGAGGTAGAAAGATAGAATTAGATTTAAGATGATAACAGGATGAATAGCAAAGAGGGCTGGGGATTTGGCTCAGTGGCACAGTGCCTTTCTAGCAAGTGCCAGGACCTGAGTTCAATTCCAGGTACCAAAAAAATAAAAAGGATGAACAGCAAAGTCTTGCTTTGTCTTTTACACACTTGTATATCACCACAAACTTTATTATCTCTCAGCTTTCCTGATACATATTGTAGAATCGACAATGAAGAAAAACTACACCCACAATCCTGGGGAGGAACAACTTAATCTGTCAACTTAATAAAAGGTAAAGATGAAAATGAATAGAAACTCAATAGACATAAGATCAGAAAATACAAGATTGCCTAAAAATTAGGGCTTTGGGGTATCTGATAAGATTTAGAATATAAACAACAAAGAGAGGGATAAAGAAACATTTCAGGGGAGAAAAACAAGGACTTGATGACATGTATCAAAAGGGTTCATCACATTCCAGGTAGAATTAATGGAGGAAAAAGAGATTCACATCTACTGATGTAGGAGCCAAAGGAAGTAGTGAAGGAAATAAATGCTCTAAGCAGGAAAACAGGTTTCCAAACAAAGAGTTAAAAAGCTTGGCTCAATAGCCTCTGGACAATACCAATATCCTCTGAAATTACATATATAGACAAACTCTAAGTATTATTAATCCCAACCAAATAGCTTTTGCAAAACACAACAACAGAAAGACATTCTCAGGTATTTATGTATTTAAAAAATCTAGCATCTACTTCTTTAATGAAAACACTTAAAGATACATATATGTATCACATACCCAAAAGATAATTGTGGAATTCACAATGTAAAAGGAAGGTTCAAAAGGAGTTAAACCAGACAAACAGGTATCTCTGTAATGTAAATGGGTTACAAAATTAAATATACACAAAAATCCCAGAAAGATCTTGATGTTGATTGCTGTAGATATACAGATTTTAGATGGGAGCATACATCCTGTATCTTTGAGATAGGCAGAGG